TGTTCTCCTAGGACCCTTCAAAGATTCTAAAGTACATGGAGGGAAATTTTAGGTTAATATAAAGAAGAATCTTCTAATACAACTATTCAGGAAGGAAATAAAAACAAAAGTTTTTCCTATAAGGTGGTGACTTCTTGCCATTAGAAGGAACCACGGGGGCTGGCCCTGTGCCGTAGCAGTGAAGTGCTCGTGCTCCGCTGCTGGCGGCCCGGGTTCACATCCCGGGCACGCACCGACGCACCGCTTGTCAGGCCATGCTGTGGCGGCGTCCCACACGAAGTGGAGGAAGATGCGCACGGATGTTAGCTCAGGGCCAGGCTTCCTCAGCAAAAAAAGAGGAGGGTTGGCATGGATGTTAGCTCAGGGCTGATCTTCCTCACAAGAAAATAAAAATAAAAAAGAAGGAACCATGCAAATATCTAGTGACAAATTGTCATGGGTATTGAGGGACCATTTCTGCATGGAGTGAGGTTTGGAGGAGATAACCACTGATGTCTCTTCCAAATTCTTGACATTCTATGAAATTAGACATTATTACTTATCACTATTTATTTTAGTCATAATAAAACTATATATTTTACAATAAGATTATTATAGATGCTATTCATATAATGAGATAATAAGTTTGAGGACAAATGTTAATGCTTTCCATGTTACTTATTTTATTTTTATTTATTTATTTTTTAAAGATTTTATTTATTTATTTTTTTCCCCCTAAAGACCCAGTAGATAGTTGTATGTCATAGCTGCACATCCTTCTAGTTGATGTATGTGGGACGTGGCCTCAGCATGGCCGGAGAAGTGGTGTGTCGGTGCGCGCCCGGAATCCGAACCCGGCCGCCAGCAGCTGAGCGCCGCGCACTTAACCACTAAGCCACGGGGCCGGCCCATCCATGTTACTTATTTTAATAATTCATAACATAGAATGCTATCATCAGTGCATAAATTCTCTTTATTCTTGGCACTGATAAAATTTTCTCCCTTTCAAATGATAATAGCATGGTTATTTTTAGTATGACCTTTTTTGCACAGGCTAATTTGAACTTCCTTATTAAGAAATCAGAATAGAAGTTTATCTTAACTAAGAAATTTCCTTGAAATTCATTGTACTTTACTATTCCTAAAAACAAACCAAAAATTTAAAAAAAGGAAGAAGACCCAACAATTCAAAATATATCTAAATAACTGACTCTTTACCTTTGAATTTTAGGCTTGTCGTCTGAATCCTGCATTGGCAGATGAACTTCACTCTTTACTCATTCATCAAAGAATTTAGACCATAATGCATTTCAACAAAGACCACCCATCCTAACACCTTAGAAGGTGGGTATTTTTATAGGAGCTATGTTTGGTTCTTTTCTGCACCCCAAGTGAGGTTATCCTGGGTATTTCACTGAAGATGTGATACCTTCGTTCTTGAATTTGTATTCTGTAATTTTACAACTTGAAACCTAGCTATAGGATCAAATTGCCAGAAGAGTCCTCAAAGATCCAGCTCTTAGCCTACAGACTGGCCTAGACCGCATCAAAGATTGCAAACCACTCCATAAAGCAAATGTTTTTCCTTTGCTTAAATACAGAGTGTCCCAAAAGACTTAGTGCAGTCTTAGTTTTAATAACTTCAGAAGTATAAATGCCACAAACATAAAAAACACCATTTAAAAGTTTAATTTTTAAAATTTCTTTGATCTTTAGTTTTGTGAAATTTGAAAGTAAATTTTTAATTTGTCATTTAAAATTTTTAAATTTTAAATTCACAAAACTAAGAAATAAAAAATTTAAAGAAACTTTCAAATAATGTTGTTTTTTAAGTTTGTGTAGCATTTATACTTCTGAAGTTATTAAAGCTAAGACTGCACTAAGTCTTTTGGGACATCCTGTATTCTAGAAAGAGATTCTTATAAATAATGGGCTAATTTATTATAAACCTCAAAAAAAGTGAGTTTAAGAAATTGCTTAGAATCTTGCCCCTCCATATCTTCCCTTAAAGATCTTAATTTCATGAGTAAAACAACGCTATATTCCTGATAAGATAATCAATTAAAGCAAGATGTTTCTTTGTGCTTAAACTCATTTTCTACATTTTAAAAACCCTAGATTTCAAAGCAAGATAAAATGTGAAAAAAATCTCAAGAAAATCATCTATCAATACAAGAACTATAACTAAATATTGTTAAAAAATTAGATTAGCAAGAGCCTTTCCTTATATCAATGCCATCTATGAAGGCAAAAGTTGACAGTAAAAATAGTAGGATCCATATGAAGAAGATGTATAGAGATTTACATCTGTGAAACAAATACATGGAAAATAATATGTCTTTTTTTTTTTTTTTTTTTTTTAATTTTTTGTTTATTGCAGTAACATTGGTTTATAACATTGTAAAGAAAATAATATGTCTTAAAGATACCTTAACAATACCTTCTTTGTAACTATACTAAATTGATGTGGCTTTATTTCATAAATCACAACCATCCTTTCCAAAAGTGGATTTAAACAAGAGCTCATCTTAGTAGTGGGAAAATGCAATTAATATGTAGGTGCCAGGCACTAAAGAAGTATTGTACGGCAGAAAACTACTTGCTCTTATTTAACGTTCTGGTTTGTCTATACTACTTGAAGTTCATTTTGTGTTTATTTAAAGGGAAGAAATTTCAGCACACTTAGGAATGTAAGATACCCTCAAATGGTCATATACTTTTCCCTAAATCTCTTCAAAAGTATAAACTTAAACCATCCCTGAAAACCAATCCTTTTCCTTTAAATTTCTACTGAAGACTCTCTGTTCCTCCCCCGGAAAGACATGTTTCAATATCTCAAGCCCATTACAAGATTTCATAATACCTAACAAATCTCTTTCTACAATGTAAGCCCACTTGCTTCGCTCTTGTTAATACCATCCATATAACATTCCTTCAACCATCTGAAGATCCCAATTCCCAACCAGTATCCTCTTCTCCACACTTAATCCAGTTCCTTAAGCCTTTAAGAATCTTAACATAGGAATGTAATAAAGCAACGCATGTTGACTTCAATAGGACATTTAATAGATCTGCTATCTTTCTCCAGCCCAAAGTAAAGACCACTTTTTAAACTGCCATTAAAACGCAGGTCTGAGAAATCCTAAACGCAGGAATTTGACACGTGTTGTATGTGGTAATACGCTCTGCTTAAATGTCTTCAATGAATCCAACACAGAATTTAAAATTGCAGTTGACGGTAGTTACCATAAACCTGGTGCTTCCGGCACAGGAGAGCCCCTGCAAACTACCACTGCAGCAGACTGCAGTGTACACCTGGACC